AAAGCAAGCTTGAAGGAAGGCTAGGCGTGAGAAACCTCCAATTGTTCAACCTAGCTTTACTGGGGAAGTGGTGGGGCAGATTAGCCATAGGAGATACTAGCCTATGTAGCCAATTAATCAAAGAGAAGTATGGTCACAATAGAGATAATTGGCTGTGTTGGTTAAGGGAGGGCAATGACAAGGGCTCACTATGGTGGAGAGATCTATGCAAGTTAGGAGAGATGGGGGGCAGAACCAATGATTGGCTTAGGAGGGGATTCCAATTAAAAGTCGGAGAGGGAGCAGTAGTCAGATTCTGGTGGGATGATTGGGTAGGGTGTGGGCCCCTTGTTGAAAAATTTCCCAGATTATTCCTATTATCTGCAGGTTAGCAACATTCAATCAACCAAATGGGGAACTGGATAAATGGCACTTGGAGCTGGAATCTTCCATGGAGAAGGATGCTTTTGTAGAGAGAAAGAGCTCGAATTGATCCCCTTATGAATATCCTAAACGGGGTTAAAATCCAACATGGAATTCAAGATACTTGGAGATGGGTGCACACAACAAGGATGGTATTTATAACACTAGTGAAGCCTACTCCTTACTTGCTGCTGATGGTGAACCTAGTGATCCTAGCATCTACTCCAAGATATGGAATGGTAACATCCCCTCTAAAGTATGTGCTTTTACTTGGAAACTAGTTCAAAATCGCATTCCTTCCAAACTTAACCTGTCAAAACGAGGGATGTGTAACTTTCAAGATGGACTCACTTGTGTCTTTTGCACTACTGTTGTTGAAGACACAAACCACATATTTCTACACTGCAAAACAGCCTTTAATCTCTAGTCAAAATGTTTTTGATGGTGGGGAGTTGAACATGTAATGCCTGGAACATGTAATGCCTGGAACATGTTGGGATGCCTTTAACCAGTACAAAGACTTTTTCAGCTACACAACAGTTAAAATAGGCTGGGACATTATATGGTTTGCAATCACTTGGACAATATGGTTGGCAAGAAATGAGGTAATATTCCAGAACAAACACTTGGACGAAGCGAAACTATTTGACTTGGTGCAAGCTCGTTCATTCCAGTGGCTTAAACTCAAAGGTGAAGGGAAGGGGATCTCACTCTCTGATTGGATACAACAACCAAGATTGAGCACTCTTACAGCCTTCACAAAAAAGAGGGTAGACATTTGACAAGGACCATACAATGGAGAAAGCCAAGTGTTATGTCATTAAGATTGATGGGCTCATATGAAGAAACTGCAAAGGAGGACAGAAATTCGACACAGGTATAGTGTCGACACATAATTTTGGTGTCGACACCATATGACAAACGCCCAAAACTCCGGCACGGACGTAGTGTTGACACATATATCAGGAGTCGACATCATACGAAAGGTTACTCCACTCATGTAATATGATACCTTTTAAGTTATGATGTTTATAGGTTTGGGGTACCCCTTGTACTCTGTTTATTAATAAATATTATTTTTTGCTGTTAAAAAAAAAATTAATAATCACTTTTCTTTTTGATTAATCAGTAGGAGTGGTAGGTCAATCCCTCATGTCCTACCAAATTTGCATTCCGATTTTTCATACTACATGCCGTGAAAATTT